CGAATCGATAGCGCTTCGCATTTCCCTAAAATAGACGCGAACTATCGCATTGATTTTAAGCAGAAGTCTCGATTTGACGACGGAGCTTTCTATAAGTAACGCCGTGGAAGAGCCGTGGCTCGATGTATCGTCTTGCGCTGATATCGCCGGGGTCAAGAGACGCATCTCACAAAATATTATTATGCTTCTCGTCGGAACAAAGTTTTGGATACATTGAATTTGCACGATGGCCGCATCACCGAGACGTGAGAAATAACACAAATGGGATGCGGGGAAATATATTTGATGTGGACAGCGCGATACAAGTTTGGTAGCTGTGAGTATCTTCAGCGAATATTTGATAACCCCCGGGATGCGCCGTCTAACTTATAACTACGAAATAACACCGACGAGGGAGCACGGCGGCGACGGGAGCGCGCTATCATTTTGGGTTTTGCCCAACTTTCTGTTTAATATAAATGTTTTTGTCAATCTTGTGCGCGAAAGTCGATTGCTCGAAAATAGAAATGAAAGTCTAGTATCCCAGTATAAGATCCTGATATAAAATTCAAGATAACATTTAATATTCTTATAGTTACTATGTATAGATCTTTTAGTTGGAATTCAAGATATTAAACTTGAAAATATTCTAATAACGCAATGATAAAAATATTCGCGTTAAGTGACGCCATTTAATTTTATGCACGAGCTCGCCTCGTGAACGTGAGGGATCGGTATCTATACCCTCGAATACAGATCGATGCATTTTATGGCTCCGCGATGGGACCATAAAATGTTTCTTCTGTTAACTCAAATGAAAGCGTTTTTACGTCTTAAAGCTGCCGCTGAATTATACTTTGTTGACACAAGTGAAACGTCGAATTGGATTATCGAGACCCTCGTCGAATTGAGGTAACGAAAAACCAGAACATAATTAACTAATGGTATTCATACTAATGTATAGCTAATAATAACCACTGTTACAATTACTAACGCGCGTACAAGCTATTTGCGTCAGCGCGTATCTCGATCTGATGACCTTTTCGAGGTTTCCATGACGCCACTCCATGACGTAACCCCTCAATTGTGTCGTTCGTTAAAATGGAGTTCCGAGCTCTTATTCTCGAACTTTTTGTCGGATACCTTTCACAGATGAAAGAAAACGTTCCCGAGCGCGTCGGCGGTAGGTACGAGGAGAGGACGTCTCGTCGATTCGGCGCAAAGTCGTTTCTTTCTGACGAACTCGTAAAAGCGAGACCGAGGGTCGTAAACCCACCCCAGGGAAGGTCGGACGGAGTTGCTGAATATTCACGAATTCGCCGACCTACACGCCATACACGCCGGGGGTGGCCCACGTGTGCGCGCGTGTCTTACATATTCCGTATCCACATAGGTGCCATGGGCCTCTCTCGACGCTTCTGTTGCGAGCGGAGTTGAACTTTGCAAAGCGTCAGAGCTCTCGGGGATATCGAATCCAAGAGAAATAGCTAGTTTCGAATTTAATCGTTTCCTCATTCATATATTAGCTTAGTTTCGCACTTAAGGGGTGTCTTAGCCGACTACTAATTGTGCTACGGAGTTCGATTAATGGCCTGCCCCACTCGTTCGTTAAGAAGGAATAACGTTTCTGAATAAAATATGTATAGCGACGATATTGATGCGCGAAGGATGAAAATAACCATCGAAAAGTAATTATTATTCAAGGAGATATATCTATAGATTTATGTTTGGAAACTGGAAGGTTGCTTTATTTTTAGAGATATTGCAAATCAATATTCTGAAATTCAATCATTTTTGTGTAATTTGTTTAACAGTAAACCTACGATGAAAAATAAATAATTGAAACAGAATATTTTTAATTTGAAAATTGAGAAACGTATAATATATCATATTTTAAAAACCGCTGTTACATTCACGATCAAAGAAAAGATTTATAGAAAAGATGAACAGATTATACCGAAAACTTTTGGATTTAAGAGAAAATTTACAAGTCTCACTTTAACGTTCTCTGGTAAAATAAAAATAGCAAGAAATTATGGATTTTTTTCCCCTTAAAAACGTGGATGAGGAAATTATGCAACATGTAGTAAAATTTAGATAATTAGAATTTCACAAAAGCGCGATCTGCATATATCAGCTCGCTCGTCATTCACGCGCGCATCAAGATGGCACGTCCGACATTTATTCAGGGAACTGTTTTTCATCCTCTCCCGGACTCAAGCCGGTACCTATCTCGCATCCATTATCACACTCCCGTCCGGGCCCGCCAATTAATCACGGAAAGGAAATAAGATTTACCAACAGTCGTAGCTGAAAAATAATTATCTCGGCCGCATTATCTCGCACGCCAGCCTTTATCACAAACCGCCCTTTGCTTATCCTGTAATCTGCACGTAACATCCCTACATATGCGCCATTTATCGGCACGACATCCCTTTCCTTCAGACCCTTTTAAAACGTGTCTTATATATTTGCAGTAACAGAAAGGATAAAATCGATAGGGTAAAAAATTATATTTCCTATGAAAGACAATGTTTAATTGTCGGTCTACCAACTCTTGATTTCTATTTTATTTCTCCATAAGAATTCTTTCGCGAGATGGAATAAACCGTCGACGAAGAGCAAAAGCCACAAAATCGAAACGATATCGTATACGTCTCTCCATATCGACGATCCGCAGAAGTGCAATGTATTATCGTTCTGTTTTGCCAGTTCTGAATAAGGTCAGGCGGGTTGCGGGTCAGGACCATCGAGAGATAACGCGCGTATATATACGATATATGAATGCAGAATGCAGAATGCAAATTACCGTTAACCCCGTTGGTCACTTTTTGCGCGCGTTCGCTTTATGTGCAAGAGAGCCGAGCGATTCGTCGCGCACGCGGTCACTGGCTCTGCGTTTCGAGGCTGGGTATGGATTGGCTTCACGTCGCCCCGATAACGAACTGTAGCATCGCCAGCTCCGTGTTTCGCATTTTACCCTGCCTGTCGTCCTGTCTCGTCGCCGAGGCATGTCGTCGATGAGGCCACGTCCATTTCTCCGGTTCCTGTTTGCTTTAAACTTGCAAGCGTCGATAATCGAGTTGCGAGCTCGTTCATTGTTAACGTATTATTCTTCGCACGCTGATGAAACGGAAACAAACGGACGGCAATGGAGCGGCACTCGGATGTTACAGTTCGATTAATGCGCGGTGTTAAACGGGCGACGATCAATGAAAGCAAACGATTATGAAACGCGCAAAGAGGTACAGCGAGATATTCACAGAAGTGTAATTGATAATTATTAATAAAGGAAAGAAGAATGGTTCTATTATAGAAACCGAAATTTACGTACGTTTTCGTAATCGTACAATATTTCGCGGAATTTTCGCAACTTGTATAGATTTTTGGCAACAATGGTTTGTTAACATTAAATAATTAAAGCAAAATTATTGTATAAAACGGTATTTCGCTTAACAGCAAAGATCGTAAAATTATATTTTAGTTATTAAACTTTCATAGATATCCACTGGAAATGACATTACTCGTGGCATTTGTATATTTAATTGCGATCTTAATCATAAAATTATTAACATATGATTATGGATCGATCGACACAATAGTCTGAGCTCTGATTATTTAATGGCGATCGAAGGACGGATTTTCGGGCGGAACTGAATAACATTACTGGCGGTTTATCGCTGCTTAACGGTCGTGTGCATAATGAGCGGAAGTGAATCGTGAATCGCGATGTAATATACGATGCGTATTACTCGCGACGTATGGCACGTGAGTTTTATAAAATCGGTTACTTCGCGAGGACTGTAACGTCGGTATATTGTCCATGGTACGCGTAAGTCATAAAATAATGGACGACGGACACGCGTGATTAATTTCTCCCACGGCGACAGAAATCGTCTAAAGCGGAAATGCATTTAGGAGCAATTTATCGCTGAATATATACGTGACACGTACTTACATAAACGTGACAAACGCGCTATTTGCATTCCACCCGCTTTCGTTCCCGTAAATTCTACCGGCGCCCGTGATAATTTATAAATCCGCGGAAATAACTTATTTTAACTGACGGCGCGCTCGTCAAAATTGTAACAGCGATGTAATTAAATTTATCGCGACGTTTATTACTTTGTAAATGCTGGAACGTAAATAGTACCGTAATAATATAGTTTCTGAAAATGCTGAAAAGTATTATCCGAACCTCATTTAAGGTAACACGCGTATTATTACGCTTCTCAAAAGACATATCTATTATATTTTTAAAACAGGCATTTAATAATATTCCAATTAAACGTTCTAAACTAAATAGACAATCTAAATTTACGAGGATGTGAATGTTTCTCCTTTCATCTTTAATTATTAAGAAAGCTAAAATCATTGACTTAATTATATTAGCTTAATTCACTTGCGATGATAAATTATTCAAGATCTTCATTCATAGTTGAAGGATTTAGGATACCATTAACCCCACATATGTCGCACACAAATTCGATCAATCAAATATGTAATATTCAATATTCTCCATTAATTCAATATTCTTCTTAACAATCTCTGTACATACGCATTAATCCTAAAGTAAACAAAAGATTTGATTATTTACACCGTTACTAAATAATACAATTATCCATTTGCGATGTCTGGCAGGAAGAAATACAGATCGCAATTGCATTAATAATCGCGCGACGACCGTAAACACGTGGCATCTAAGGTGTCAAGGTAGTTTCTTATTCATAGGGCGAGCAGTAAAATTAACGCTGCTCCGCTTTTAACAAAGTTGGCCGAGATACGATCGATGAACGTCACCAAGCGAAACGATACGCTCGATCGGAGAACGCGAGCGCGACGCTGCGCCGTTCGATCTCGAGGTGCAAAGCTGCAACACGCCGAGTGAACCCGAAAGTTCGCTCGCTGGAAACGGACGATAAAGCGGCGTGGCGCGGCCGTTCCGTTACGAGCGGCAGCGACAGGCTACCCGATAATGCCGCCCGATCAAGTAAATGATCGAACGAACGCGATTGTTTCAGGCATGCTATGCGTCAGAGCACCGGAAACGGAGGTGCCTGCAGAAGATGACGGGGTTAAGTAGATAAAGGGAGCAGGCCTGGCCGCCATCGACGACGGACGATTCCCTCGGCTCCTCTCTTTCTCACCGCAGCGCACAATGCTCTGCCATCGCGCTCTTGTTGTTCTCTTCGCTGTCAACGTGCCAATCGGTGAGTGACTTCAACTCTACTACCCTCTTTCCCCCTCTCCAAGAAGCATTTTTTCGATGGAACTTTCGAAAAAAAAAAAAACTAACACAAGCTATATCTAAAATTTCTCCTGAAAATGTATGACACGTGCCATTCGCGTTTGCAAATTTACACTGCTATTATGCATATAAAGTATAAAGCTCGAACGAATGTTTAACATGCGCGATCGATATTTTATAGTAGACATTACGTGAAAGATTTTATCTTTTAGATTTCAAGTTGTACCTTAAATAAGATTTTCAAAGAATTTGAAAAAGTATATAATGGGCGAAACGTATCTATTCTTCACACTTTAAATTATTTATTCCGCACTCATTCCGCAGGGAAATAATATAGAAATAGCTTTTAACGAGAAACACCGTTCTATTTACCGAACGCATTTATTATCGAGCATTCGATGTACCTAACAATAAGTAAATTGAGGCACACGTGCATGATTTGAACAGCAAGTTTCTGTCACATATATCATTCCCGGTCCATTACATCGGGTACGCTTATTGCGATTGACGCGGGAGTCGATACATTGCGAAAGGTGTCCAATACGAAATCTGTTGTGCCCGACAACGAGCAATAACGCAGATGCAACGAGGGCACGATGCCAACGGTGGTTCTGTATACCGCGGTCCGCAAAATAAATAAAGTGTAGTTTGAGTATGCCACTTCGCTGCGGAAGTGCGACGCCATCCACCGTCGACCTGTCAGATTCTTGCCCGAATGTTTATCCGATAGCAGTAAATAGAGAGGAAGCGATTGTGTTTTTTGCAAATATTTCATCCTACGCCGCGTTACGATTTATTGCACACGGAGCTCTAGTCTGGTTCAGTACACGACGGCTAAATATATATTAGCAAGCATTTATCAAACTTCTTGGTGACTTTTTCTTTTTTGTATAGACAAATAAGAGCGGATAATTGATAGAAATGATTCAATATTTTTTGTGTATAAAAAGAAACAAGTTTTTTAGAGAAGAAATTTTATGATATTTTACTTCCGTATAAACATGAATTATTAATCTCTCTCAAGTTGATTTAAATATCGTTTCTTAGGTACGTTTCCAACAACTATTTAAAATTAATATTTTATAATTATCAGTTTATATGCCCATATTTTTATTGTAATTTACTCTGTACCTAATTATTTGATTACGAATGTAGATATATTCTACCTATAAACCTACTACCTATTCTCTTTAAGAATCGTGATAAAAGCTTAATAGCTTGTGCACCACCGAGTAATTGCTCTTTCCTTCTTTCGTGATTGATGTACCGATTAACTGCTCGGACAATCGACTCGATGCAATAAATTCGATTTAACCTCAGTCGTACTTGATCTTGACATAATTCCGCCAATAAGTACCGTATACTAGACTGCACATCGATTATCCAACTATCGAGTCGTTTAAAAGATAATTCAAAATAGATGCATAAATTATAATTATACAAATAAGTATATCATGTTCTTAAATGTCAAATTAAGATTAAGATTTATGTTTTTAATAAACATGCACACTAATTTATTTTGTTCACCTAAAATTTACTTATTAACAATATTTTTTCCACCTAATACCTATAATTATAAATTATTAAATAACGGAAAGCAATCTCTCATTGCCAAATTTTATTTATTCATTCCCGATTCTAAATGCATCGCGTGAAATGACTGAAAACGATCCGTAAATCGCTCGAAAGAGCGTGTTCAAGCAAAACGTGCACGAGTACGAAATATTCAAGTCCGAGTTTATTCGCAATTAACATGAGTTAGTCATGAAATAATAAACGAACGCTCATCGCGAAGTCCAAACTGCACGATGACAACATCTGGCGCGGATACCGTGATACTAAATATACGTATATCATACAAACGTGCGCGCGCGGTATATCTCGAATGTTACCGGCACCCAAAGTGCGTCAGAAACGCCGCGGGCCTGGTCGCTGTCACTGATGTTTATTGGCACTGAGAGCATCCACCACACGTACTAAAATTAATGATAGCTTGTTTAGATTATAGTCCATGGATGTAGTTGGCCTCCGGCAATCTACCAATGTCTCTTAACTCTGGTAAACTTTCGAGGTATAAGAATATGCGGGAATCAATATAATTAAGTTAATAAAATTGTATAGTTTTAGTGTAAGGATACCTAGTTCGAGCGTAAAACATTAGATGCTTGTTAAATTTTGGAAGTAATTTTAGTAATTTATAAGTAATGAAAAATTAGAGTAAGTAGTTCAAACGAAGATATGTCATACATTCTAGAGGTTTTGTGATCTTTTTTGAGCTACGATAAATTTAGGACAAATTTACATAGGATACTTTGTACGGCATTATTAATATCGATATCATCGTTATTACTGTCGGCGTTAAGCATTAACGATTTGCGTGCAACAACTTTCGTATACATAAGGAAAAAGTTGAGAAGATAGACTCGCGTCTGTGCGGAGATAGGATCGCGTAATTTGCGATCGACGGGATACACGTCCCCTATAATCCGTCCTGTGCAACGCCGACGACGTCCGATGCAGATGCAACGGAGGATCGGTGCCAAATACGTTATACGGGCCACGGGAAATGGGCACGTAGATCCCAGATATGGCGCGTCCTCCAGTGCTGCGGCATGGGTCGTCCCGGTCTGGTCAACTTCTGGCCCTGATGTTTATTCGGCGCGAGTGGAAGCGCCGACTGCGCTTGTCGTTCGAATTAATTTACCGCTTGCGGGCCTCCGGTCTCTTCACACAGATATAGATAGATAGATAGATAGATAGATAAATAGATAGACAGAAAGAGAGAGAAGAGAGGAATGAGGGACAGGTAGAATCTTGATGACGTCGTTCGACCTAATTTCGTTAGAAAGAAGTGAAAAATGTATGTACAACTCCGTAGTATTTTAACTAGATAAACTAGAATTTTTATTTAAATTAATTTTTAGACGCGCGACACGAGAGATAGATTTATAATTTATATCCTCAGAAAAATTAGCACGATAGAACACTCGTATAGCTAAACAGCTCTGTTTAAGTAATTTTCGCGTAAATAATTTTATCTGGTTTCAATACAAATACATAAATTAGTATTTTTTTAAAGCAGATCCTATTTAGTATCTATGTATATTGTGTATATTTAAGCTGACTCCACGCAGATATCTTTTTCTCTTCGGATAGACGTTGAAAAATTGAAGCACATTGCCCAAAATTACTATCAAATTGGTCGTGCAATGTCGTAAGACAATATCTTTTGTCAACTGCAAGGAATACCATCTCACGTCCACGCTATAAAGAAACCGGAGTGCCTTATCCACCGGCAGTGGTAAGACGCTACAAGTCGAGCGTTTCCAGATGCATCATGAAAAATGCACCACCCAAACGTGTCCGGGGCCGGCGCGGGATTGGCGGGGTGAACTCCGATGGAGATTTGACTCGATGAGTCGAGTGAACGGCTGCTGCTAGCCGAGAGAGTGAAAGGAGGAAAGAGGGAGAAAAAAAAACGAACGAACGGGGGAGGTTTTGTCCGTCGGTGACCGGATAAGATTGTTTGTCTATACTGCGGATCACCGGGCGAGATTCGCCGATTGTTCCACCGCCGCGCCGGCTTCGCTTTTCCACCCCCCTGGCGTTCCTTATCGGGCAAACAACGACCTTTCCGGCCAAATTGGTCGGTCCGAGTAAAATGTGATTAATCGCTCGCCTCCTTTCGCGGGAATGTATCTGCCTTGCCAACCCTCCAGTGGTTATATAGCGATAAACGGATAACTGCGGTGCAGAACCCAATTGAGTCTCGGCCCGATATAGGATAGATCGCCGCGCGCATCGCTTTCGATCTCGGAGGAGAAAAAAAAGATAGGTAATGCGAAAGACAGAAACAGAAGGAGACAGCGCGGGAAAAGGTTACGTTAGGTGTTAGTTCGTTAAACCGATTTCGTTCTATCACTTTTCTCGCTTCCTTATTGTAAAAGTTTGACTTTTAAAAACTTGCTTGCATCTCTTAACAATAAGAGTTAACCACGTAGAACTCTTTTAAACAAATTATTAATTTATTGACATTTTCACGAGTCTAATGACATATTCATAATTTTTAGAATCAACTTGCTGACTAACGATCCAGAATAATTTTTATTTTTGTTTGGTACTGAAATATCTTCCTTCCTAAAGCTTTCTAATTTTTCTCCTATTCTATTATTCTTGTAAATTCTCCTTACAAAATTTTTAATGAAGTGGTTCAATTGCTGTAACACAAACATGGATTTAAAAAAAAAAATATCTCGTCAAATTTTTAATAAAATTTTATACAATAGAGTTATATAGAGTTAAAAAATCATAGACTGTATTTGAATTATATTTTCATTACAGCCGATCTAAAAATTTTCTGTGCTTTTAGGACAATTGTGGTTTCTAATTTTTTATTGCCATTAAGGAGGAAATGTAATAGCAAGGTTTAACGCATTTAATCCTTTCTAAACGACGAAAGCCTTTGAAAAACTACGGCTGCGTATTTCAAAGAACGGAAAAGTACCACTTCCTTTAATTACTCTGCTTGTGTGAGGTTCTAGGAAGAGAAATCTACCTGAAAATCATTATGCAGCTTCAAAGCTACTTCGCATTACAAAACGGCTTTTAATTGCGAGGTGAATAAATTATTCGATTCAGCTCATCCATCCTTCTAGCACTAATTATATCTGTCACAACCTTTTTACGTAAAAATAATCCACTTCTCAAATCAAAATACCTAGATAATCATCTTGAAAATCATCTTGCTAAAAATCACGAATCGCAAAATGTATGTACATTAGTATTAAAATAAAAATCTCAATTCTCAATTCTTGTAGTATATAAAAACAACAAAATTGATAAAATTAATTTATAAATACATAACTTTTAGATTTACAAAAAAAAACGACATTTAGATAAGATGTATGTGTATCGAAATACAAGCTTCTTTATTGAAGCTATCAACTCCTTATGTCTCGTATA